GGTCAAGAGGAATCCGCCGTCGTCTTCTGGTGGAACGGACCATCGAATCTCTTCACCCAACACTTCCACTTGACATGGAAGTAAGCTCAACAACTATGAAACAGAAGATTCCTCGAAACCCAACTTTTCTTCGCGTATATCCAACTAGGCCGCCCCGACAACACGACCAAGTTGCGACAACGAGTTCCAATCGAACGAGCTCAGCTTGAAAGGAAACCGCGACCAAAATATAAGTCACAAAATCTTGATCTTCATATTTACGCACAATCAGGTATTTAGTGAGCATGTTTTAAAACCATGAGTACATCTTGAATAAGAACTTGGGTCAATACAATTCGTCACTCCTCAGTGATTGATAGTAGCGGTGGATTGTACCGGTAAGTACAAGTTTGCCTCTGCTGCTGATGAGACCCAGGCCGAGCTTGGATGAGAGAGCCCTTCAGGAGGTAAGGCTATGTGAAATCTGATAATCTGTGAAGCCTATTCCATTGTGGACGATTTGACTGCCAGATTTACACCACGACAAACGACCTAGGCTGAATCAGGTTCATTTTTAATATAAAAGCTTCACTCATTAGGGTTACACTTCGCTTTAGCACACAGTGTCAGACCGGCCTACCTAAGACTGCTTCCCCTGAGCCCACTTTTGCAGTTAGATTAAGCCGATCTGACTTATTTGGCTTTTCTTGCTTTGTTTATATACTTGACTTGGCAGTACTCATTTCGCAATATTTTTATCCGGGCCTGTAACCAGTTACACACAAGTAACGGAGCTATTTCTGACTTACACACGTACAGGCACAAATAGATATGCGTGCACGAACTCAGGCGTATACAATTCATACTGAGTAGGTTTCGTTAATGCCGATAGATATTGAATAAGAATGCAATTCAACCTAGAAGTCATAAGGTGAAAAAGAACTGATAGTTGAAATTTCCCATAATTATATGAGTCTCTTGCCTCGGTTCTGGAGACAAGACTAAGTAAAATTAAATCGTATCATGAAGCCTATTCATATGATTTCGGGGGAATTAAACTATCAGTCCTTCACCACCAATAGTGAATAAAGGTCTTATTTAAGCATAAACTCAATTAGATAAAGATATGTATCTATCTATAGGTATATATATATATATATATTGTTCGTTATGTTTTAGTTTTGAGCATATACAGCATACAAGGAAAAACCGATTACTCTCCAGGACTTAGTTAACCTGATGACGGAAAAAGAATCAGCCCATTTTGCCACAAAGCAAATGAGAATGCCTCTCTTACCGCGTCAACCTCAATCGCATAATAAACCAAAATGGCTACAGAACAACAGGGAATAGTTATAATCAGCACCACTAATCGTTACTGACTCATATGCCACAAATGGTGAACTATCGTCATGGAGAGATACGGCCCGACCACCAGTGGATATAATATGAAGAGCAACAGTCAAGGCGATTTAAGAGCCTAAAAGGAAAACTCAAATTTAACATAAATTAAATAACGTTGCTAGGATGCAAGTGAGTAGTAGTTAAAACTATCGGTAGATTTTAACCCGCATCTCTCGATTTGGGGATTCACTATGGGATAGTGCCAAAGTACTCATTCGTTTCGTCTGGGCATACCCAAAATTAACGTGACTGGCTCAGACAAGCGAATATTGACACATTAACTGTTTAAGACGATTTGTAGTCGGCGGCTCTCACTCGCCAAAGCTTTGCGACCCCGTGACAAATGTTGGGACCGTGAGTGAGCTCGAGAAGTCCTTGAACCTGATCTTGGCAGAAGGCTGGGCTCTCCTGACGATACATTCGATCAGATGGACGATCAACCGAATGCGAAGGTGTCCAAGCAAAGCCCTCTGGTGGTTGACATTCAACCGCAAAGTGTGCATCGAATCGCCGTACAGGTGGGAAAAGATTGTATCGAAAAGAGTGCAGGCCATCGCAGACCAAACGACGTCAGATGGCGAAAATTAGCCCAAACCGTTGGGTGTGAGGCGAGTAAGCAGCAAACAAATGAGGTCACAAATGAAGGACACAAAGCGATGCTATAATGGTTTATATTGGAAGCAAAATACACACAATTACCACTAACCTCCGCCGCCTTTTACTGCATCCCAGAGGTCAGATCCAATGGAGAGTTAGGCACGAAGTTGCCTCGAAGTATTTGTTAAGGGAGCTAGCTTCTTCGTCTCTGGAGGCATCAGATTTAAGCTTGTATTCTGTAGGGAATTCTAGTCGGACTTGGGCGAGATCGACACTACCTTTTAAGGGGGAAAGAAAAAATGGAACTAATTTGCATAATCAACTATTCCTATCACTTAATTATAGGCAGTTGTAGTATCAGGCCGT